ATCCTGGGTATGGAAGTGTAAAAGAAATCTTATTCCCAAAGCCAGACTGTGTAGGCAACAGCTTCAGTGGCACCTGGGATGTGCTGTGATTTTGGGCACCTCTCCTCATCTAACTTTCCCACACTGAAATAGGGAGCTAATCCTAGGAGCAACCCTGAGTTATTTTATTATAGGCTTTCTAAGATCTTTTTCATTCTCCAGGCAGCTGGAATAACTCCTGGTTTTAGCCAGGGCTGGCTAGGCAAATGCTCGTCTCCCAGCAACCCACAGGCACTGTCCCCAAATGCAATCTACAGTCTCTGCCTCTACTGGTTTGTAGTTTTTTGTTTTGTTTTATAGATATATATTTTTAAAATTTATCTCTTTTATTTTTTTGAGATTGTAATATATCATTTCTCCCTTCCAAACCCTCCCAGGTATCCTTCCTTGCTTTTTAAGAAACCTAATTACATAAGTATAAATGGCTTAGTATGCATGTTACTTGTATGTATGTTTCCAGGGCTGACCATTTGGTAGTAGGGAAGACCATTGCTCCCATTGTCAGCATTCTTTAGTTGCCTGTACCTCTTTGTGTAGAGTTGAGGACTCCACCAGCCACGTTAGTATGTTTATTGTTGTCCGTGTTCAGTTCATATTTAGGCAGTCGTGTTGGTAAGACTTTATGGGTGTAGCTTCTGACCTCACTAGGAGGTACAAGCTGAGAGCAGACTCCTGCTCTTACAATCCTCCCATACCCTCTTCCACAATGATTCCTGAGCCTTAGGTACTAGAGTCGTGTTGTAGATGTATCTATTGGGACTGGGCTCCACAACTCTGCATTTTGTTTGTGGTTTTTCTGTAATGGTTTCACTCTCCTGCAAAGTGAAGTCTCCTTGATGCAGGGTTCTTATCACCTCTCTCCATCCCACCCCTCCAGTGAGTACATGCTCAAACCTCTGTGGGAACTTGAAAAAGTCCTGCAGCCTTTAATCCCAGCACTTGGGAGGCAGAGGCAGGCTGATCTCTGTGAGTTCCAGGCCAGCCTGGTCTACAGAACAAGTTCTAGGGCAGCCAAGGCTACACAGAGAAACCCTGTCTAGAAAAAACAAAAACAAGCAAACAAGTGCCGCAGAGGGTCAGAGCACTAGGGCGAACCAATTCAGGTTTCTGACAGATGGTGAATGACCAGTGTTTTCAACCATAGTAACTGTAACCCATGTAAACATTACAAAAAGGCAAACCGATACGAAGTATCACTCTTCCTATAAACTGCTACAGAGTATCTATCATTCTCCCTGTTTTCTTCTGAGCTCTGGCACCATGATAAGGTCTAGGGAGCGTACTAAGTGGCCAGTCACTGATAACGCCTACACATGGCAGACGACCCGTGTGCCACCGTGCACCTTCAGCTTCCTCCCTTCCCCTGCTCGGCAGAGCGCCTTCTTTCATCCGAGAGGATGAAGTGCTATGGAAACAGTCCTAGCACAGCGCAAGATGACAGCCTAGTGATTATTTCAACTTCAACCAGACACAGTTCTTTGGAAACAAACTCAGATGCGGCATGACTGGATGTTGCTAATGACCAAAACAGCAGTGACAACCACAACCACAGGGTCTCATTTCTGTCAGTCTTTATTAAGTACACAAGCCACCTTCTCCGTCTCAGCAAAAACAAGCTGGTGTCAAACAACCTGTCAATGAGGGCTGCTGTCACCAAGTGCACACATCTGGGGGCAGCTGTGCCACAGCACCCAGACTGTGGGTGATCTTCCTTCGTTCTTCCAAAGTATGGTGTCAGCCAACCCTGGGAGAAATCAGGACAGTAATGGGCAGGAAAACCACAAAGATGTCAGGCTTAGAACCTCTTCATGCTGCCTACAAGGGCTTAAGAGTGGCCTGACCTCAGAAGAGACACCAATGAGGGACTAGTGCAGGTCATCGCTAGAGCCACAGGTTCCACTGGTGTGGGGAGATTCAAGTAGGGGGAGAAAAGTCCATGAACGGATGCTTCCTCTGCCAACAGACAAGCTGAAGGTGGGCAAGAGTATCCTCAAAACAGTTCTGAATTCACCAATCCTAAGTCTATAGAAGTGGGGGGGGGCGCGGCTCTAAGGACCACCATCCAATAATCACCCTACAAAGATTAAGTGTAAATGTCAGTAAATGCTGGCTGTCCCATGTGACTTTTAGAATATCTAGTCAGACTCAGTGGTGCACATCTGTAACCCTAGCACTGAGAAAGAAATGGATGGTATTGCTGGAAGACCAGAACTTGAGGTCATGAGCAAACTTCTAGTACTGCTCTGATAAACCCATTATAAAGTAGTCTCAAGTGTGATTCTGAAATGTGCTCAGAAAGAAGTAAGCATCTAGTCGGCTATCAGGCATGGCTGCTTCTTCCTGACCGCCCCCTCTTCCAGGGTCCCCACCTGGGGTGAAGCAGTGCTGTGATGAACTGCTGCTGGATGAGGCTGCACCAAAACCACACATGGAAATCCTTCTAAAAACAGAGAGAGGGCTTTGGCTCAGGGTACCTGGTGTGAGCCAGACAGCGCTTTGCTGACCAAGGTCTAAGAGTCATGGCAAGTATCGTTCAATACCAGCATCAAATGATATCTACTATTCTGTTTTCTCAAACAGGGAAATGCACATGCCCTTTAGAAAGACTTTCTAATACATGAATCCCACCTTCAAAGATCTAGAGACCAGAAGTGCTGCAGTTTTGGGGGGCCATTTGGAGTTTGTATGTTTGCATAGGCCTTGCATACTAAGCATTGGAAAACTCAAAAGCAAATATGCCCCAGTTTTAGATCTTGGAATATTTTAGACTTTGGATTATAGAATTAAGGATACTCAACCTGTACAAGTAAACTGTGTGACGAAGACCCACTTGGCTGAAATCTGTGTGCTACAAAAGCCTGTACAGACTCTAAATGGAGAGCTCTGTTGACTGCTACCCACAGCATCCTGTGCAGATTCTCAGTGGATGCTGCTTCGGCCAGGCTGATGCCTTAGGAAGACAATTCTCTACTGAGTGGTCTTTGTACAAAGTGACTTAATCCACAAAAGTACGACAGCCATTTGGGGGGAGGCCTAACTGGTGTCCCCAAGAGCAGTAGCTCCAAAAGTACTGCACATCTATCAGCCCCTGATCCATGCCCAACACCCATGAATTCAACTGGGAAATGCAACCCACAGCCATGAATTTATTCCAAAGAAACTATTAGGATTGACACAGGGAATGAAAGAGAGCTTTACACTAAGGCTTTGTTAACTGTTTCTTCCTAGTCCTTTCACACTGGTCACCCAGGTACATGCAGGCATACAGGAATACTATGGGAAAAATACTGTGAGAAATACTGTCTCACTGCAATACTCCCCAGAATGCTGACAAAATGTTGTCCACAAATGCACATATAGGAATAGGGAAGGAAATATTTTAAATCAAAGTAATGTTGCTAGTGATTTCCCCAGAAGTAGGAATTCACCTGACATCACTTAACTGGTGGTACAGGTGCCACGAGTGATCCAGGATTCCAAGAATCATTTCAAGGACACTTAGATGCTTCATCTGAAAAGGGACATAGCTCATCAGTTTCAGAGTCCTGCTTCAAGCCACTGCTCTAAGCACCAAGATCTCAAACATCGAAGAGAAGAAGCAAATATCAGCTGGGAATTCATTACAGTAGCCCTCCGCTGGCTCCTTGGGTCAAAGAACTCGGTAGGTTTGATTCACCAGACTGATGGATTTGAGTCTGAATATGTATACTAGCTAGTTATAGGACAATGGTGGTACCTGTTTGGGCCTCAGTGATCCTGTCATAGGGGACCAGAAGGAAATGAGACATTCATTGTGGGCACTTTCTACCAATCAACTGAAAAGCAGGTTATCACCACAGGAGAAACTGCCAGTGAGGGCCCAGGTGAAGCTAACAAAAAAAGCAGCTTCTCTGATGTAAGAACCATGCCTACCAAACCCACAGCCCTGTCCTTCCAGAAGAAGCCAAGCAGACAGCTCCCTCAGGGGGTCAGCCCCAAAGAACCATGTCTTCCCGGTGGCTGTACAACCCCACCCTCCAGCATCCAGTCAGAAAGAGTAAGGGCAAGGTCCACAGGCCAAGAGCCCAGGCAACATCTGCAACCATGCACTAGGAGGGGGAGTGACCAGGAAGACAGCCAGGCAGGGTTCTCTGTGACAAGACCAATGGAAAATGGGAATTTTCCTTATGGAGAATGGTGGGCAGCAAATACTCAACAAAGGCAAGATTAGTACCAAAGAGGTGAGCACAGGACACCAGAATAGGAGCCAAAAGAATGTTTTCAGAGGGAAGCGCCCAGCCCAACCCACACTGTAGGCAGGAACAGTCACCTTCTCCCGGTAGTTTCTATTCCTTACAATCAAAACAATCACAGCCATGTGACACACACGCCGACGTGTTAACTCAGGTTCAACACACAACACTGGCAAAATCAGACATAAAGCCAGACGGTGGCAGATCAAACCAATTCAAGACCCTGTAGAATCGGGACACAAGTAGGACAGCTAGAATCCACACATGACTTGAGGACCAAGTACCCGGCGCCCGATGCAGCCTGGGTTCTGCCTACCCATTTCGTGGCTATGATGCAGAACCATCAGGTTTTATAACCGCGTTTCACCAAGTTTTATAAGCGTTTAAAGAAGCACACACGCCCCACAGCTTCTATCTCAATAACGAGCCTGGAACCTGCCTGAGTAGTCCTGCGGCCACAGCCACCCAAGTTGCCTTCACTCACAAAGGTGGAGTCTACCAATTATAGAAGAGGGACAGATGCAAAACATTTCCCAAAGGGGTAACTTTGGGTCACCGAGAACTTTTCAAACTCCAAGTATCTCGGGTCTGATTAGATCACAAACGGCGCCCATTCTTCCTATATACTCTCACCCTGCAGCACCTTCGGGCCGCCCTGCACGCCCGAACGCAGCTGTAGCCCAGGGACCCCCTGGGACACCCCTGGGAACCGGGTCCCCGCATACTCACCCAGGGTCTACCACCTGGCCGGGCTGCGCACACAGTTCACGGACCACGCCGGCGCGCTCCGACCTGAGCCTGCGCTCGGCCCGCGCGGATTTCACGCAGCCCCCAGAGGTGGTGCGAGCCGGGGCTGTGCCTGCGGGCTCCGCGGAAGCAGCGGCCTCGCACACTGCCAGCACCGAGCCGATGCGCACAGCCGCGCCGGCCGCCACCTTCCACTCGAGCAGGCGCAGCGGCGTGGGGCCCGGGCAGCGCACCTCTGCCCCGGCCGCCGCCGGAGCGCCCTCGGTGGGAACGCCGGCCGCGGGCGGCGCTTCCATCGCGACCCAGCGAGCGGCAAGGACGGTCGGAACAACGGAGGCGAGAAAGGAAAACACAGGCGCTCAGGGCGCGGCGCCCACCGCGGGCGGCAGCGACGCTGCGGTTCCCGCTCCGACACCGGCTTCACCCGCCGCCGCTCGCTGCGCACTCACTTCCGGGAGGCGTGCTGCGTCACGAGGGCGGGGCCGGCGACGTGCAGCCGCGTGACGGCGTGCTCTCGGGCCGCGGGTAAACAGTCGGCCCACGCGAAGCCGGGAGGCGCTGGTTCGCGTCCGCCGGGCGCTGGTCCGCGGTACTGAGACTTCAGACAGGCCACGCGGGTCGCTGTCACAAGACTTCTGTCACACGCTGCACGTCCTGACGCATCGGGACTACGAGTCCCGGCATGCAGCGCGGGTCTTGCGGCAACTCCCGTCGTACACTGCGGGTTCCGACTACGGGAGACTTTATTGCTAGCATTCAGCGGGGACGGCTGTGCTTGATAGTACGCTGTAGTCTTGGTGTCGAGAGAAAACTACCGGCCCCAGCATGCAACGCGAACCTGTGCCCCCCCCCCAACACTCCCGTCGTGCTCTGCGAGGTTTGCCGGGGAGAAACTCCGGGTCCCTTTAGGCAGTGCTGCCCATACACTTCGGGACCGGCAGTCCACTTCTAGCCGACTGCTCCGGTCGTGCACTGTGAATCCTGCAGTAGCGAGACTTGAGTTTTTGCTGCTGGCTCAGTGGCCGCGGACCTGGACTCACTCGGTTCTGCCCTAGCCTGGTGCGCGGCGGAGGAGCGTACGCAGTGGCCGCTAGCAGCTGGCGCTCTTTTCAGAGTGGCGTTCCCAGCGTGGGGCTGCGGTTGGTTGAGGGGATCCACTTCGCCGGCTCGCTCCTCCTGGGCTGCCGCGTGCTCATTACTCATCAGGCCTACAAGTGGGAGCCGGGAGGATCTCTATTGTCACAGTTTCTGAATCCTATCAAATAGCATTCTCATAAAGCTTGAGTGGGTGTCCCGGGCTGTGAGCACGCTTGTCCCAAAGATGCCTACACTTGTTACCGTGTCTTATGCAAACAGGCCACAGGCCTTTGTTTCTATGGGCTGTGTTCCAACGAATTGCCTAAAGTGCAGCGAATAGCGTCCGGGGAGTCTGGTTTTTCTAAAACCAAGAGAATTAAAAAATACTGTTCAAAACTGCTTGCTTTAATTGAATGGGTTTTCAAGGGATGGCAGTTCATTGATAGGTCCTCTACCGACATTTTACACTGAAGATATAAATTAGAGTTATTTGGGAAGAGAGGTGTAGCAGGAATCTTAAAGGGTCTTATTAATAAAACCAAACCTGAGGCCAGTTATTGGGATAAATGCTGGTAGATCAGATGCAGAACAAGCCACAGCTAACCTCACCTGGCCAACTTCTCAGTTGATCTTGTTTCCTCAGACTGGAAGCCTCTGTGTCCTCATCCAGAATGAATCTCAGCTGAACTGTGTTGCTCAAAGCCTAAAAGCTTAACCAGCCAAATGCTTAACCCGGCCAAATGCTTCTAGTTTCTGGTCCTCACGCCTTATATATTTTTCTGCTTTCTGCCTCACTCCCTGGATTAAAGGCTTGCTTTCTGGGATTAAAGACATGAGTAACCATGCTTGGCTGTATCCTTGAAGACATGGATTTCTGCCTCTAGAATGCTAGGATTTAAGGCGTGTGCTACCACTGCCTATCGTCTTTGTTTAATATTGTGGCTGTTCTGTCTCTGACCCCAGATAAGTTTATTAGGGTGCACAATATTTTGGGGAACACAATAACACCTCAGAGGGGTTCTTCAATTGAGAAATTTTCCTAATTGGTGATCTATGTGGAAGGACCCAGCCCATTGTGGGTGGTGTCCCTCCATGGACAGGTAGTCCTGGAGTGTATAAGAAAACTTGCTGAGAAAGCAATGGGGAGCAAGTCAGGAAGCAGCACCCCTCCAAGGTCTCTGCATCAGTTCCTGCCCTGATTGAGTTCTTACCTGGACCCTGCTTTGATGATAGTATACTGGCTAGTTTTGTGTCAACTTGACACTAGAGTCATCAGAGGAGGAAGCCTCAATTGAGAAAACACCTCCATAATTGGGCAGTAGGCAGGTCTGTAGGACATTTGCAGAATTAATGATTAATGTGGGTGGGCTCAGCTCATTGTTGATGGGGCCACCTCTGGGCTGGTGATTCTGGGTTCTGTAAGAAAGCAGGCTGAGCAAGCCATGAGGAGCAAGCCAGTAAGCAAACTCCTCCATGGCCTCTGCATCAGCTCCTGTCTCCAAGCTCCTGTCCTGTTTGAGTTCCTGCCTGACTCCCTTCATTGATGAACTATGAAGTGGAAGTGCAAGCCAAATAAACTCTTTTCCTCCCGATCTTGCTTGCTTTTTGATCATAACAATAGTAAGCCTAACTAAGACAGACAATGATGTGGAAATCTAAGCAAAATAGATACAATGTTTCCTCATAGCTTTAGCATCCCTAAGACACCAGGTAAGGATTGCAGTGTGCAGAAACAAAAGGTTCTCCAAGTTACTTTTTACTAGTCTAGCAGGAAATGTATAAGGAAACAAATTGAAATAGTGTAACCAGATTATGAGACTTGAGAGGTGCGTGTGTTTGGGGGGGGGGGTGAGGTGGGTGGGAATGTGACTTCTGTCTTATAGCCCAAATCCACCATACAGTTACTTTGTACAAATTTGAGACCAATCATGAGCATCAGACAGATTGTAACAATTGTTACTCATTAGAAAGAAAGGTAACTGGTTTGCCGAAGGTGAGGCCAGAGCCAGGAAAGTTTATCATACACCACAACCCTCTAACCTAAAATCTTAGGAATAGATGGGTTTCCGAGTCCATAATTTTTCAGATTTTAAGAAATAGATTGTGTGCATGTATCACCTGCAAGTAGAGACAGCATCTTCATGAAATATTATAGAAAAAAATGTAAGGAAATGAAAACTATATGTCAAATTATGTCAGATTCTGCCATCAAATAAGTTACACTAAAGTTACTGTGTTTTAAACTGTATTTGGGGTCTATAGAGAAAGACATGAATACTACTAATGGAAAAAAGAAATATAAGGACATCACTGCTCCTAGGTATGGTGGAGGAGGTTTATTGTAGATATGAGGGAAAGCACAGCCAGAGACATCTGGAAGAGTCCAGACTGAACGTGAGCATCCAGCTGAACTAGGCCATATGAGAGAGGGAGGGGCTAGGAAGAGAGAGGGAACCAGGAGCAGCAGCCAAGAGGGCAAGAGGCCAAGAAAAAGGACCAGTATAGCCAAAACGGCCGAGTGCTATAGAGAAGAGCAGCTGGGGGCTGGGAATGCCAGCCAGGAGGACCTTGTAACAGGTGGGGACTGAGGGATGCTGGAAGGACCTGGCAGCCAGTGGCAGTTTTGACATGCTAATCAGCACCTCAGCCATTTGTCCTGAGTTTGAGACCTCACATACTATGTATGTGATGAATTAATCTCTATGTCCCATGTCTCTAGAATCCCAGGCTGATTTACTTTACCTAGACTGTTTTTCAAGAGCTGGAGCATTACCTCATCTGTTTTCCTGGCTGAGATACGGTTCGTTCAGACTCTGTTTTCTGATGAACAGATACGGGTCAATGCTAGTGAGGTCAAAACTAAGAGGCAGTTAAGAGGTCTGCCAGGGCAAGAACAACACCCAGAGTTCTCAGGCTCGCAGACTTTCGTCTGCATGATTGTGTGCCTGTGCTAAAGTTTGTTTCATGCACAAACTTGTGGCTTCCAGAAAAGCTTCAAGTACGCATCTTCATAAGGTAGGGGGGAATCATCTTGAACTAGGTTGAACACAGATCTAAAAACCACAAAATTTCTAGAACAGGAAGAGCTTCGTGACATGGGGGTTAGCACTGATTTCTTGATACGACACAGATCCATGGGCAACGAAAGTAAAAATAGACAAACAAAATGACATGCTTGAAAACTGTCTGTTCTCAGAGGACACAACAATGAAAATATAGCTTGAAAAAATGAGAAAATATTTGGAAGGTGTATATGTATGTGATTAGGAGCTAGTATCCAGAATATGCAAAGAATTTCTGCAACTCAAAGGCAATCAAACAACCTAATTTAAAAATGGATAGGTAGGCTTGCTCTCCAGAACTGGGTACAAAAGAGGCAAAGTAGACATTTTCTTAAAGGTAAGGTATATTTTAAAAATGACCAAAAATCACATGGACTGGGGATGTAGCTGAGTTGTAGACGTCTTAACTAGGATGTTTAAAGGCCTTGCCTTTGATTCCAGCACCACAGAGGGAAGAAAGAAAAAGACTCATTATTTTCCAGGCCTGGTGGCACATCCCTTAATCCAAGTGGATGCAGAATGATTACAAGTTCAAGGCCAGATAGACACATAGAGCCTGTCTCAAAAACAAACAAAAACAAAAACAAAACAAGATAATAATAAATGGAAAGATGCTCATAGTTACTAACAACATCACAGGAAGTTGTCCTGACTGAGTGTTACCAGGTTCTTGGAATCTTATTCAAAAGCACACACAAATAGGAAAGCAGCAAGAAGCTTTATTCAAAGGCAAAACAAAGGAGCAGAGCAGATGCACCGTAAGGGAAAGGAACGGTGGGCTACTTAGACTAGAGTGAGTGCTCAAGAATACCGGGCCACTGCTTGGACCTTTCTGTTCCAGAGTCTAAAAGGGGGAGTTGGTTACTAGAGGTAGAGTACAGGTGATTCTCTGTTCTGACTGACAGACTCAGATTGCGGAGGTCTCTGTACACTGTGCACCCCTTCTTGTGACACAGCTGACTTAATCAAATTAATGCTTAGTAGGGCTAGGGAGATGGCTCACTAGGTAAGAGCACTTAGTATGCATACATAAGGACTTGATTTCAAATCCCCAGCATCCAAATTAATGCCTAGTTGCGCCTAGGCATAAGAGAGTAAGTAAAAGATTTTCCCCAAAAAATTTCATTTTGAATATATAGTTTGCCTTACACAGACCCCAAACCAGTCTAGGCTGGATTAGCCACTACCCTTAGTTTCAAGATGAGGGAGTGTGGTGGTTCTGGCTTTAGAGTCACGAAGAGTGAAGGAGAAAGGCAGTTGTAGCCAGAAGTTTCTCCAGTCCTGCCGGGTCCTGAGGTCTGGACAAAT